GTTTATTTTATTACGTTAAGTGTAAATAATTTGCTTAGTTCATAATATTTACAAACTATGTCTAATAAAGAAGAAATTTCTTCATCTAATTCATCACAAGATGAATCATAATTATTAATTTGATTAGAGACTTAATTTAAATGAAAAGATGGGAAACGGTTTGTAGACAGAGGTAAATCATTAGTTTTAAGAATTTTATTTGAAGAAAATAGCAATTTAAATTTGTTATCTGGTAAATCTGTGAAAGGAAAGATACTTTTAGTACAGTTTACATAATTCGACAACAAACGACTTCATTGTAGTAAATTGTATTTAGTATCATTAAGCCTACCACATTTTGTATGAGTCCAAAATAAACAAATATTACATTGAGTTGAGCGGCAATTTTGACTAATTTTTTTTTTTACATAAATGGCTGTTTAAAGCCATAGTAGAGTTGCAATATTAGGGAGAATGTAAAGCCATAGTAGAATTGCAATATTAGAGAGAATATATGAAACAAATTTGGTTTCTTAATCAAAACCAAATTAAGAAATTTTTATTGAGTATAATATTTAATGAATATTAATTTTATCTTTTATTATTATTGCTATTTTTATGCTACTGTATTTATAAAATTCTTATTACTTTTATTTTTGTCTTTTTTAACTACTAATATTACTAATATCATTAATTTACCTTTGTTTTATAAATCTTTTATTTTTGTCTTTTTTAAGCCTACTACTAATATTACTATTATCATTAATTTACCTCTGTTTTATAAATCTTATTAATATTATTTACAATGATATTGATAGTGATTAAATTGTAGTTTTATGGTTATTGTCCTTATTGTTGCTAATGCATTATATATTGCATTATATAATGTTTGTTTTAATAATTTCTGTCTTAGTTATAAACTTTACTATAATTATTTTTACCATAAATTTTATCATTAATTATAATTTATAGTAAATTTATCATGTTATAGTTACTATTTGTAATGCTTTTCTATTCATATTATTATTATTGTTATTATTATTATTATTATTATTATTATTTTTATTATATTATAATTGCAATTATTAATATTATCTTTATTTTATTAGTGTTTTACTTTCTTTCCTTTCTTTTTTTTTTCCCTCTTTTATTTTAAATTCTTTCAATGTTTTATAGTTTTTTTTCAGTTTTTTTTGTTTGACACAGAATTTGTTTGTTTTGAAGGTTTAATTAATTCTTTACATAATCAAGAAAAAGTAAGAGCTAAAATTGTGTAATTATAAAAAAAATATGACAAAGTTAAAAAATCTTGAATATTCTTTCATTAAAAAAACTTTAAATTTAATTATAAATTAAAACAGCGTTAACACTATAAAATTAACTTGTAGAAGTGTTAAGTATTTAGTTAAGTAATTACCAAAGTATTTTGAAGAAAAAAAAGTAATTAAAGTGTGCTAACATATTTTTAAAGAGAACGCGCTAATACTTTTGCACACTTAAATCAACACATTGATTTGCGATCGTGTCACAAAATGAGATACCATCTTTGTAGGGGGAAAACATTGAACAAAATGTGTTATTAGCGCGTTTAACCCGGCTTTAAAATTAAAACAATGAACAAAACACGCTAATCACGCGTTTTGTTCAATGTTTTCCCCCTACAAAGATGGTAACTCGTTTTGTGACGGGATCGCAACCTCAAGGATAGTGTTAAATATCAGTCAACCTAATTGTTTTTCTGATGAATTAATTAGAATTTTAATGACTACTCGAAAAAATGTGTTGATTCAAGTGTGCAAAAGTATTATTGCACTCATTAAAAATATGTTAGCACACTTTAATTACTTTTTTTTGTTAATTACTCTCTGCTGATTAATAATAATTAATAAAAAATATAAGCAAAAGTTAAAGGTTGGATGAATCAGGAGAACGTGAAGATGGGAGAGAGTTTAAAAGGGTTGAAGTGCAGGGAAAAAACTAGACAAATAAAAGTTTTTAGAGTATGCAGTGACAGTAATCGAATTAGACTTTGCTGAATGATGAGTCAAGCCAGAATGAGTTTAGTTGATAGAACTAGAGAAAAAAGCTGCTTTAAGCAGTAACCATGATAGTATTTGCAGAAAAGAGAAAAAGATACTACTTAACAACAATGGGAAAAAGGCTCAAGCTTAGCAGATAGGGCAGGTCTAACTACATTTAAGATGCATTTTTGGACCTTGTCCAGTAGAGAAAGAACATCATTAGAAAAACCAGCTCAAATATGACAACAGTATTCCATACAGGGACAAATAAAAGATTTGTAGAGTTAAAGAATGGAATCAGAAGAGAGAAAATAACTAGCATGATGAAGAGAAACAACTTTAGCAGATTTTGGTTTAGCAATTGATTGTATATATGATTTCTATGGAAGGTGAGTAGTGAACAATCAAGAAGAGGAAAGACGAGAACTGAGTGAGAAGATTGCAATTCATCAATATAGAAATGTCGACAATATTGCGATAGTTGTTTGCAGTAAAAAACTAGATTTTGTTTGATTTGAGATCAGATTCAAGATTGATTGCCTGTTCTAAGCGATCAAAAAGAAAGGCTTTTTGTCAAGACAGGAGTATAAAGTTGAGTCATCAGCAAAAAGAGCTACATTAGTTGTAAGGTTGTTAGGAAGATCAATGATGTAGATAAGAAATAGAACAGGACCAAGGATATAACCTTGAGGTACCCCAGAGGTTACTGGAAATGAAGAAGAGTGATGAATTTAATAAAGCAGTTTGAAAAAAACAATTTGATAATCTCAAAAACTTTTCCAGATACACCATATAAAACAAGCTTATAGAGAAGACCTGCATGCCAAACTTTCTCAAAAGCTCCACCTAATGCATAATAAAATCTTTCAGTCACAACAGTTAGCAAGTCAGTCATAGAGCAAGAGGATTAAAAATTGTCTGACAGTAAGTTATTTGGTGGGATGTGAAAAATCTGTTCAACAGCAGATGCTATTTTCAAGCAGGCAGAAAAACGAAGACTCAATCAAGCACTTATTAAATAGTTTAGAGAGAGTAGAAGATTGTTCTGGAAAACAACTTTCTGGAGAATTTTGTAAAATTATGACAGGAATGTTATAATTTTACAAAAAATTGAACAAAATTATGTTGTCTGGACCTCAAGCCATAGAAGAGTTTAACCGAGATTTTGGCTATGGAAGCTGGAGTGATTAGAATGTCTAACCTGTTTAATTGGAATGGAAGGAAGATGATTCATAAGATTTAAGAATCCATAAGTTTCAAGACTCGAATTAAAAGAAAAGTTATTTGAAAATACTTCTTATCCATAGAAGAGGTAATAAAATCAGTCCCATAAATGAGAGATGGAATGTTAGACCTTTGTTGATGGCGCTGTTGATGACTTTCCAAAAGTCTCTAGAGCCTAACTTCTGAGTTAAGATAAGAGACTTAGTGAACTGAGAAAAGTCACAAAGTAAACTATTGTCTCAGCAATCAAGAAATTGGATATCAACTTGAGATCAGTGAATGAGATTATTTTACCGCTCAAAAACTATAATGAGTTTGGAACAGTCAAAGACAAAAGGATGTACAATCGGCATTTGGGGCTGGATCTAGCAATGGCCTGGCACATTTTTACACTGATTGCCTTAATTAACATCGGTATAGAGAAATATTAGAGGAATATTTAAAGCCTTTAATAGTTTTCAAAGCTGACTCCACCTGGCAATTTCAACAAGATAATGCTCCTTGCCACACAGCATGCTCAATTAAGCAATACATGGCCAAAAAACGGTTGAATCTGATGCTTTGGCCCTATTGAGAATCTTTGAAGTTTGATGGGCTGCGAATTGCAGAAAAGCAAGCCCACTAACTTTATGCAGCTCAAGATACAAATGCAAGCAATGTGGAATACCGTGCCACAAGATTTAATCAAGAAACTTACAGATTCTATGTCTCGCAGAGTCTCGGCATGCCTTAAAAACAAAGTTAGTCGCATAAAGTATTAAATTTTCTTAGAATCTTTGAAAAATTGTAAGTGAGCTAATACTTTTGCACACATTTTTAATATTGTTTTTATCACTCTTATTCAAGATGCGGTAATTTCCAGATTTTTTTTCAAATGTTTTCCAGTTTTTTTAATATATGACCTAGATGATCTCTGTATGATTGTATGATAGCAAAAAGAATGTTGCAGATTCTAAATTAAATAAAAATAAAAACCACTAAGTAAAACTAAACTAACTAAACCACATTCTAAATTAAATACTGAAAGAAAAGAAATTTTTTGTGTGTTTTGTTTAATAGTATATATTGCAACATATGATAATTTGAAACATTACTTTTATATTGCGTTAAAGATAAATTACTATTGGTCACTAAAATTTTATTTTATTCATTGTCCAGCTACAGCTGGACAAAAATCAAACATATATTTTAATATTTGGCCAGATATGCACGGATATATTGACATATACACCAATATTAATTTTTTTTCATGAAATATTATATTGATTGATGTAAATATAATATTTACTCTTGCTTTATGAAAATTAGATCATGTGTCATGGCATGCAATTAAAATGTGGGTGGGATGAAAAATGAAATATTTATTTTAATTTCAAATGTTGATGCCAAATGTTATTTAAAATTGCTGGCATTTTTTGTGTGAATTTGGCAAGTTTATAATGTTTGCATTTTCAGATAGTTGGGTCTAATGGTCTTAAATGCTGTTAATCTTAGATCAAAACAAAGTGTTTACAAGCATCTCAAAAATTTACATACTTAGAGTAGAGAGAATTGAATCACAATATTGTGATGTCAAGACTTAGTGTTAAGTTGACATGTTTACATCTGCCCTAAAAAGCAAGAGAAATTTATTTAAAGGACTATGCAGGATCTTAAACTTTTATCATTTTGCTTGCATTTTAACATTTTGCTCATTATTGTCTTAAGCATGTGTTTCTCGTGTATTTGTAAAAATTTTATTCAAAATGTTTTAAAAAATCTTTTTTTTTTTAATAGATATACTAACATGTCTGAAGCAAAGGCGCAATCATGATTTTTTTAAGTATCTGAAAACAGTTGATTCCGAGAGTGTTACTCCTGATTGTTTTGATAAATGTCTCAAGTTAGCAGTTGAAGAAGACAACTATGTTGTAATAGGAATTATTTTAATTCGGAAACCTCGTTATGCAAAAGAATGTTTGATTGATGCGCTAAAAAAAACAAATTTTTCTAAAAGCACTCTTATATTGTTATTATGTTATGCTGTTGAAAAACACTTTAATGATGTAATCAAAGTAATTTTTGAGAACAAAGATGTGGAGTTAGACAAAAATCAATTGTTCAAGTGCGACATTCATATATCTGCTGAAACACTGCGTCATTTAAAGTATTTTTATTCATATATATATATATATATATTTTTTTTTATTGACTGTTTTATCTAGGTAAATTTAATGCTATCTTTGTCTCACTAAACATAAACCTTGAAATATAATGCTTTAAAATATAGTCAATTTTCATACTTAATTAAAAAATTTGCACAAAATAATAATAGAAGATTATAGAACTATAAGTATGTAAAGTTTTTGCATTGTGTAGCATTTATAATTTATTAATTAAAGTAATGCTCCTATTTTAGAGGCTAACGGAATGAAATTTTAAGTGATTTACATAAATTACATTTATATAACTGTCTATGTAAATTGATATAACATTTAAGAATATTTAGTCTGCTTTAGGGTTTGCTTGAATCTTGTTTTGTTAATTTTGTTGATTTGAGTGGTAAATTCGTTAGATTCATTAGAGCTTGCAGGCTTTAACATTATACTACAATATTAAAAATTAATTAAAAATGTTTTAAATTATAGGTAGGAGGATTTAGGTTGTTGTATTTTTTAAATAATAAGTAAAAAGTAAAATACTGGCTGTAAAAGTAACAAAGTAAAAGTAAAAAGTACTGCTAGACCAAAATACTTAAGTAAAAAGTACTGCTAGACCAAAGTAAAAGTTGAATCTTTGTAATTTTTAATTTGTTTGTTTTTTTTTCTTTTACCCTTTATCCTTCCATGAAACTTAAAAATTATTTTTTCAATTTTTTTTTCTTGGATTTCGTCCTATTTAAGTCCTAAAATCTATTATTTTTGATTTGGGAGTTTTGAGCTTATGTTTTATTGGAGGGACTCTGAGTTCAAAAAAAATTTTTTTTTTTTCCATATGGAGTTCTAAAGTTCTTTAACATTTTTAGAATTTTAAGGCTTCAAAGTCCAAGTAAAAGTAATGACTGTTTGATTCTCATGTTTGTTTTAAGACTTTAATTTTAAAAACAATAAAATAATAATCATAATCTATAGTAAAAAATGAGTTTTACTAAGGAAACATTAACTTAGAAATGTCCATAAATTACGCAACCCTAAATTTATTTTTAAAAAATTCTTTTGCGCGGCAATTTCAGGACCAACGACACCAGCCCTGAAATTGCTCTTCATTTTAATTAAACTTAATGGGCTGTTTTAATTTTTTATATGACTTGAAGCTCTGCAAGGGAAAACTTTTAATCTTTTTTGTTTTGTTTTTTGGTAGAATTTAGCATTGCATAATTTGTAAACGATCCCTTTATTAGCTTATAAACTTATTCTTTTAGTCTATCAGTAATTAAAGTCAATATTCAAAGGTTGTTTGTTTAATCTTTGTCTAATCTTATTAAAGGATGTGTTTAATGGTATTAAAGAAGAGAAGTTTGAAGCCAGAATTAAAAGCTTTGAATAGATTTTTAATGGGAATTAGAAATAGGAGAGGTCCTAATATGAGTCTTTGAGGAACTCTATGTGTAATGTTCAAAAATTAAATAATATACTTTTATATGCGTAAGTAAATTATTTTTAATTGTTCACATTACTTTTAAAGTAAGTTAATATATTTCTAATTGTTTGTACCACTCTAACTTTTGAAAAGGAGTTTTGTGATCAATAGTATCAAAAGCCATATCAAAGACCAATTAAAATAATATTAGAGTTTTCAAATGAGTAAGAAATATTTATAGTAAATTGAAGAACTGCATGTTCAGTGCAATTGTTTTGTTGGAAGCCATATTGATTGCAGTATAAGAAATTGTATGATAACTATATTTTATTGTACAAAATACTTTCTTAAACTTTAAACTCTTGATAATTCAATCTTTAATATTATTTCAAGGTAAAAATTAAGAAGAAAACATAAGTTATGGCAATGATATGGATAAAAGGATGATTTATAAAAGAATGTTTAGTATTCTATAACTTAATATAATTAAATAATAAAAGAATGACTCTAGTATGATTTGGTTTTACAGACACAAAATATTTTTTAAAATATTGTGCAATTGGTCTTTATCATATAAAAAATTGTAATAATGTTTAACCAGTTTTTGCAAGTATTGTAATGTAAAATATTGTTGTCAGTAACTACTCTTATTGTTAACCAAGTGTGTTATAAATTAATTACTTATTAACAATGATTCTTTGACTTTTTTGTGTCTACAAATTGTGTGTTGTAAGTTAAATTTATATTTGTTGAGTAAACATATTTGTTTTAGGTTTTTTTTTTTGAGGATTTTAAAATGTTTAGCATAATTCTTATATATATCTGGTTTCATTTGTTATATATTTTTAATATTTGATTAATTTTTCATTTTATTTGATGTCTAATTTTTTGTTTTATTTTTCGTTTTATTTTGAAAACTCTTAACTTAACTCTTTTACTGTATCCATGGCGATTTAATACTTTGAGATTTGAGGGGTTGAGGGAAAATTGTAAATATTGTTGAACTTTTAGAGGTGTTATCAAAGAGGTGTTAATAAAGCTCCAACGAAGTTCTTCAACGAAGTTCTAAAATGAGTTCTTATCTCATCTTGCAGAAAGATTATATGGCAAAGCTTCTTTTTCCAATGAAACTTTTTTTTTGTCTCCTCTGTGATAATAAATGTTGAAAATTAAAATTGTAGCCCTTTCTAAAAACTTGGGTTTAAATTCTTCTTTTTTTCCCCCTCAAATCAACATCATTCTATCTACATTCATTGTAAACAAACAGGTTAAGATTGGCTTGTTTTAAGATACTGTTCAAACCACTGAAATGTAAAGTAATACAAATGCAAATATAAAATAAAACAAATTTTGTTGTCAGATTTGTAACTGATTTGAAGTAAACCATAATTGATTTGAAGTCAAATACTTACTGGTTTAAAGATTTCCAGAAGCCCTTTCTTGTAAATTTCACAAAATGGTTGTCTTTGTTAAATTTACTTTTGTGCAGTATACATTGTTAATTTATTTCTGATTGTTTGTAAACCTTCATTAAAAAAAAAAAACGTGGATCATTAAAACATATGGTCCAAAGAAAATTTAGCCTCTCCGTTGAAGTATTTATTGGAAGTTTGATGAAGTTTCAGCAAAAAATAATGTCAGATAACAGTTTAGGCTAATAAAGCAATAGATAAACTAAAAGCATCATTTTCTAAAATATTTGATTATGATGGACTAATTTTATTATACACCAATGTACAAAGTAAATGAACTAATATATGCATAAAAGTTGAAAGAGTGTGTAACAGCTGAACTAAACTTTCACTAAACATTTTTTATAACATTAGTAGTTATAATATTTTAACAATAGTTTTAACTTCAGACTTTAACTTTGTCATTGATTTAATTGGATAATATTTGTAATGTTTAAAATGCGTCCGGCTACTGTCTTGTAGAAGGCCTCCTAAGCAAAGACTTAATGGGGTAAACAGATTCTATCTGCTGACCAGCCTCCCACCCCTTCTTCACCTATTAGGCTGGCACAGATGTATTTTTAATACATTGTTTCCAGTTTGAATGGATCTTCTTGAGTCTATGCATGGATTTTTCTTGTGTCTCTTTTTATGACTAGGCAACTCATTCTATTATCTCCTATTGAGGGTACAGCTCTAAACCTCAGTTTTATGGTTTTACGGCCAGCTGGTAATCAGGTTTCCTAAACTCTGTGGTAGCTCTCAGAAAAGCTGATTCCATCAACAGCTGAAAAATATCAAAGTATTAATAGTACCTTGTTGCGCATGGATGGTGTCCCTTTTGTACTTTTGGTGTGCATTGCCAAGGCCATATTTGGAGCCCTTTGTTACGGCTAAGGGTTTATTAATAGTAATGAGGCAATTGCTTGGGCTAATGAACAGTGTACTGAGTACTGTCTATGCTTTGAGTCAACACAAAAAACCATTGTCATCACCAAGTTCTCTAAACCTATCATTCACTAATATTCATGGTCTTCGAAGTAAATTTTCGTCTGTTGAGTCTTATCTCTTGCAAAGTTCACCAGACCTACTTGCTCTTTGTGAGACTAATTTGAGTTCAGCTGTCTCAACTTGTGATCTCAGTGTTGATGGTTATTTTCCTTTAATTCGTAAAGGCTCCAATAGTCACATGCTTAGCCTAGGCATTCACCCGAAAAATGGGTGAATTATTCGGGAAACTAGGTTTGAACCCATAGACTATTCTTTGATGTGCTTTTGTTTAGCACAACTTCACTCTATTGCCTTTCTCTTTGTTCTGTATGGCTTTCCTTCATCTTCATCATCTGAATCCCCCTATCATGGAATCTTTTATTCCTACTTGATGATTTCAGGTCAAGCCTCACTCTTCTCCACAGTTTTCCTCACATTATGCTGCTTCAATTTCCAATCGAAACCGTTACTTCCATATTTATCAGCAAAACAATTCTTCAGAAAACAGATATCTGTTTACTAAAGCTAGAAACCATAATAAAAAAGTTTTGTCTAACCCCAAAACCCGCTATTCTCAGGTCATGAAATCTTGTATTTCATCACAAAAATTAGGCTCTTGTGACTACTGGAGAATCTTTAACAGTATCAATAATAAAAGCAAATCTATTATTTCACCTCTCTTGTATGGTTTAGACTCGCCTAAAGACAAAGTCAATTTGTTTGCTTAAAATTTTTCATCAATATCATCTCTTGATTTCACCAGTTGCGTTCTACCTGATATAGCCGTCAAACAGATTGATCTATTGCTTGACATTCAAATCACTCCAGCTTCTGTATCTAAAGTGATTTCCAGCTTAGACTCTTCTACTGCTTGTGGCCCAGACAACATACTTATTATAGTCTTGTTGCAAAATTAGCATCTGCTAAGGTTGCATCTCTTTATTGGGCTTGACACTTTCTTTTATCAACACTTTCTTATTATTGAGCTGGACACTTTCTTACTCCGGATTTTATCTATAAGTCTCAAATCCATCTTTGTATGGAATACTGTTGCCATATTTGGGGCGGATCTTTAAATGACGCCCTTTCTCTTTTAGACAAGGTGCAAAAACGCATTGTAAACACAGTTGGACCTGCTCTTGCAGCCAACCTTCAACCATTATCACATCATCGTAATGTTACTTTTCTTTCTCTTTTCTACAAATACTATAATGGACACTGCTCTAAAGAGCTAGCGTCTCTTGTGCCATCTACTCAAATTCATTATAGTGTTGCTTATCATTCAATTAAATCTCATCCTTTTTCTGCGACTAATTTAAGTGCTCTAAAAACTCTAATTTTTTTTCAATTTCTAAAGAATTCTTTTCTTTTAAGAAAAGAATTCTTTAGAAATGATTACTTATCATTTCTAAAGAATTTCTCTTTTTATAATAGTGTCAGCAAATTCCACAAATGTGTGAAAATTTACAGTAGTTAAAATATTTGTGACTTCCTGTAATTTATTTTTTTGGTATAAATTTTTATTAATTTAATAAAGTTTTATTAATTTGATCATTCATTTCTAATGAGTCTTTATTGATGAAACACAGTGTAAAATGAAAAAAATTTTTGTTAAGTGATTTTGTACTAATTTATAATTGCTCTGTTCTTTTAAGAACATATATATATATATATATATATATATATATATATATATATATATATATATATATATATATATATATATATATATATATATATATATATATATATATAAAACTGCATATTTTTGCTGTTCTTTTAAAAACATATATATATATATATATATATATATATATATATATATATATATATATATATATATATATATATATATATATATATATATATATATATATATATATATATATATATATATATATATATATAATTAAAACTGCATATTTTTTACAACTAAAAGTTTCATGCTAAATGCATCAGGTGTAAATATGTTTTTTTTCTTGTGAAAAAATAATAAATCTGTACAAAAGAAAATGAGTTAAAAAGTCTAATCTTTTGGTTTGTGGTTGTCCAGCAAAAACTTGTTCTCATGGCGACATTTAGATATTAGTTTGTTTTTTTTGTTTAATAATTCTTGAGGATTTTTATACAATAAAATAATTAGTTTTTCGTATAAGCATAACAAGCATTTTTTGGTTATGTTGTTGTAGGCGGGGGCATTTTATGATAGACCATTTTAAATTGGGTGTTGTTTTTGTTTTATTTTGTCTATCCCATATATTTAGAAAGCGTAGTTGCATTTGTGAGTTTTTTATTTTTGAAGGATTGCTTGTGATTCGCCCATCTAGTTTTCCACATGCCCTCTGTTGAACCAATGTATGTTTTGTCAGGTGTGTTTGGGAATGATGCAATGCACTTATAAATTACATTTGTTTTTCTGCAATTTCCATTCATAGGGCAGATTTTGCTTAGTTTACAATTGCAAGCTAAAGTGGCCGTTGGGTTCATCGAAATAATTTTATTGTTGTGGTTCTTTATAATTTTTGCTATGTTGCTTGTACAGCTGTAGCTGACTTTTGTTGTGTTACGAATAAATAGTTTATGAAGCGGATTTGGTTTTGGAAAGTATTTTTCGATTAATTGTAAAAAGGTTTTGCCTATATTTGTGAGAATGTTTTTATTGTATGGTGGGTTAAACCAGACTATATTTCTTTTTCTTTTACGATTGGGGGTTACTTTGGTATCAATTTTAGGGTTGTATTTAAAGCTAAAATCTTTGAACAAAATATATATATATATATATATATATATATATATATATATATATATTTTGTTCAAAGGACATCATTAGAAGAACCAGCCCAAATATAAAACAGTATTCCTTATAGGAACAAATAAGCGATTTTTTTAGAGGTAAAGAATGAAATATAGAGTAAAGAAATGGTGAGCAATATAAAGAAAAGCAACTTTAGCAGATGCTAACTTAGCAATAGATTTTGTTTCCAAATTTTCCATTTTTATTCTCCATATGAGAACTATAGTGAGTAATAATTTGATAAGCAATAGACTCAGGTGTTTTCATTTATCACAATAATCACAATAATGCAATAATTATTCGTAGTTACTAGGTTTTGTTGGATTTAAAATTTGCAAGCCACTACAAGCCCTGAGCTGTCGCGGCTCATGGTATAGTAAGATTTGATTTTAAATTGGCTGTTTGTTTTAAGAATTTTTATCAAGACAGCAGTATATCGGCGTCATCAGCAAAAAGAGGATAACTTAAATGCTTTTGTTAAAAAGGAATTCAATAATCTCAAAAACTTTCTCAAACTTTCTCAAACTTTTAAAAACTTTCTCTAATAAAATGAGCTTATAGAGAAATCTAGCAAGCCAGATTTTATTGAAAATCTGACATATGACAAGAAATGACAAGAGCAATAGTTCTTATCTTATTTCCACCATCTAATGCATGATAGAACTTTCTGTTATAACAGTTAACAAATCAACTGTAGAAAAAGAGATTCTAAATCTGCATTGATTTTTATTTGTTTCAAGATAAGATATTAGAACTTTATCAATTAAAAACTCAATGACTTCGCTAATATTAGTCAAATAATAATAAGAGGGGTCAGAGAGTTCTCCAAAATTTTTTTGAATATTATGATTCACTCCAAACAAAGCTGCAAGCAAACTCAATTACTAGAAAAAAAGGAAAAGAGTTAAAGAGCAAGAAAAAGAAGACTTGAAAAGTTGTATGTTGATAAGACGAATAAGAGATTTTTAGAGGTAGAGAATAGAACCAGGAGTAAGAAAATTGCAAGCACGATAAAGAGAAGCAACCTAAGCAGATGCTAATTTAGTAATTGAGGACTCAGTTAGAGGGTTGCCATTCATCAATATATTGTTGAAATGTTGGAATGTTGACAGCATGTTGTTGGAATGTTGAAATGTTGACAGTATGTTGTTGGAATGTTGGAATGTTGACAGTATTGCAATAGTTGTTTACTGTAAATAATGTATTTAATGTAGTTTTTCTTGGAGTTAAAACTTGTAAGCCACTGCAAGCCCCAATCTGTTACAGAAATGAGATCAGATTCAAGATCGGCTGCCTGTTCTAAGCAATCAAAAAGAGAATACCTTTTGTCAAGACAAGAGTATAAAGTTGAGTCATCAGCAAATTAAGCCACTTTAGATATAAGCTTTTCAGGAAGATCATTTAGGTAGATAAGAAACAAAACAGGACCAAGAATATAACCTTAATGTACTACAAATTATTGGAAATAAAGAAAAGTGTCAACCTTCGAGGATGACTTCAATAAAGCGGTTAGAAAGAAATGGTTTGATAATCTCAAAAGCTTTCCCGGGTACGCCATTGGAAGGAAGCTTGTGGGGAAGACCAGCATGTCGAACTGTTGAAAGGTTTAGATATGTCAAGAGCATTATACCTAGCTTTGCTGCCTTCAACCAATGCACAATAAAATTATTAGTTAGAGAAAAAGTTCTTTGCAAATAAAGCTATACATTATTCTTGGCTGAGGTAATTGATCAGACCCATTTATTAATGGGTCTAATCAATTACCTCTTATTAAAGATGGAATGTTAGACTTTGTTAATGACACTGTTGAAAATTTTCTAAAATTCTCTAGAAATTAATTTCTGAGATAAACACTGAGGTTTAGTAAACTAAGAATAATGGACCTGAATGTCAAAAATCACTAGAAGACTAGAAGAACTATTTATTGATATATAAGAAGATTTATTTTCTAGTTCTTTTTTTTTGTTGTTGTTACTTCCTTAACTCATGTCCTGTTTTTTATTTTTGTTTTTTATTATATTAAATTAAGATATAATCAAATTTATTGAAAACATTTGTAGCTTCAATTTCTATATGTTTAGATTAAACTAATTATTTGATATATGAATTTCATTAGTGAAGATTGGCTCAGTCTGTTCTTATAATTGAGCCTGAGCCTGGTTGTGTAAACAATTTGCTTAGTTATAAAATATCATGTTATCTTTTTTTTTAGTTTATCATTAGTTTTTTAAAATATGGCATGATAGTTTAAAAAAAATCATTAAACTAAATTTATGTTTTTTCTTTTTTTAAGATCATTTGTAAGCAATGACAAAGTGTTTGCTTACCCAATTAGCATTGGATGCAATCATATGGTGAAAAACTTTAAAGGTGTTGAATATATGTTATTGAGCTTATTTTGTGATAAGAAAAACCTTAAAGCTGATTGGAGAGGACTCCTGCTACGTTTCCTTCATGAAGATTGGTTTAAAGGTCTAACAAGCTTTAAAGATGTTATCCTTTCTCATAATAAAATTAAAAGCATATCCTCAACAAATATTTTGAATTGTCTCGGAGCTGTAGAAAAGCTGAATCTTAGTTCAAATAAATTACAAGATGTTCCCTCAGAATTGTTTAAGCTTCCCAAACTTCGCATTCTAAATCTTTCATCAAATCAATTAAGACATCTCTCTAATGTTAAAGAATGGTCATTATTTCTTACAACATTATCTCTTGAAAAAAATTTATTAGAAAGTTTTCCATTGCATGTTGAAGGACTTAAATTAAAACACTTATATTTAGCAGATAATAGATTAAAAAGTGTTCCTAAAAGTATATGTAACCTGAAATGTTTAGAAACTCTTGATATTAGTCGAAATGTTGATATTCATTCATTACCAGTGAGCATGGGAAAGTTATCAAAACTTACTCAACTAGATTTGGATGGCTTAGAGGTTAATTTTAAAATGAATTACTTCTATTTTATTTATTAATACATATTTATTTATTTACAATTTATTGTAATTACTATAATCGTTGTCTTACCATAAAACATAAAAATGAGGTTGGCAAATTTTTGCCAACCTCAAACACTTTTAAATTGGGAGTTAGATCATCATTGCCAAATGGCGACCCTAATTCCAAGAGCTGTATTTATATATATATATATATATATATATATATATATATATATATATATATATATATATATATATATATATATATATATATATATATATATATATATATATATATATATATATATATATATATCAGGGCTCAATTTAACGGTCGGACATTGGTCATTGTCCGGCCAAAACCTCAGATTGTCTGCTCAATTTACAAAGCAATCAGACATTTTGACCAACGGGAATTAAATTCTACAAAATAAAGTTTAGATAGAAATGGCGTGCGATCAATTGTTTTTGCTGACCATGCAAATTTGTTTTTTATTGACAAATTGACCGCGACTGTTTCAATGTTTTGATGATTTAAACATTTCAGAAATGCTCTGAAAAAAGAAACTAAAACTAGGAAAAAAATTAATAATTAATAATAAAAAATAATAAATTAATAAAAAAGAATAAGCAAAACAATTTCTTATGAAAAAGAAAATAAATTAGTTTTAAAATAAAACTAAAAATAGTAGAAATTACTTTTTGTTACATTTTTAATTGCATTTGAAAAAAATTACTTCAAAACTGAGCTTTTAAAACTTGTAATAAAAGTTACGCAAAACATTTTTACAAATTACTTCTATTGATTGTTTAATAAATGAAAAAAATTATTTATTATTGAAAAGAAAAAAATTTAATATTTTTAATTTGTATAAACATTTTTTTCAAAAAGTTGCAAAAAAAAATTGTTTAACAAAAAAATGTTGTCTTTTTAAAATCTTAATTTTTAATCATTTCATAATTTAAAAATCAAGTTAAAAAAAAAACAACATTAAAAAAAAACAAAATAAAAAACAATAAAAAAAAAAAACAACCTTTTAAACAACTCTTCTCAAAAAATAAAATAAAGCAATTAAATCATGCGAAGATTTAATTTAAATTCATAACGTAAAGTAACTTAAAAAACTAATCTTTTAAAAGATTTTTAGAACAACATGGAAAATAGTTTCAAACGTTTAAATTTATCATAAATAATACCTACCTAATTAAAAAAAGTTAAATATAACATTTAATTTACACGTAATGCATGTATTTTCAAATGATCATTATAATTAATTTTTGCTTTGTTTAAAGCTTTAAAAAAGAACAACGATTAAAAGTTATTTGCAACATAACGATTTTTTTAATTGCTTGAAGTTAAATTTAAAACATCAAAACGTTGTCAAAGTGTAAAGATAAAAAATAATAGGTGTTGTCAGTTACAGGGTAAAATTTAAAGTGTATCTAAAAAAACGTTTAAAATTGAATTTAAAATTGAACTTAAAATTGAAATTATTTTATATAAAGACAAAAATCTATGATAGATAATAAGGAAAGAAACTACAACTACACTAGACAAGCGTTAAATAGACTGAATAACTTGACAAAGATTTTAATTGCATAACTCGGTTCCATATAACTATGAAAATTATATTTTAAAAATTTAATTGGACAATGTTCGACCCAAACAAGTTTTGATCGGACTATTCGTATGGGACTTTAGAAAAATTTAAATTGAGCCCTGTTATATATATATATATATATATATATATATATATATATATATATATATATATATATATATATATATAAATATATATATATATATATATATATATTTATATATATATATATATTTTTATATATATATATATATATATAAATATATATATATATATATATATATTTATATATAATAAATATGTATATATATATATTTATATATAAATATATATATATATATATATATATATATATGTATATGTATACATATATTTATATATAAATATATGTATATGTATATATATATTTATATATATATATATGTATATGTATATGTATATATATATATATATATATATATATATATATATATATATATATATATATATATATATATATATATATATATATATATATATATATATATATATATATATATACAGAAATACACTCACTGTTTCTCTAAAATCGTTCAATCTAGGTTTATGTTTCACTCCTATCATTTATATACTTTTTTTTTATATTATGCAAATAATAATATTTATATATAATAAATATGTATATATATATATTTATATATAAATATATATATATATATATATATATATATATATATGTATATGTATATATATATTTATATATAAATATATGTATATGTATATATATATTTATATATATATATATGTATATGTATATGTATATATATATATATATATATATATATATATATATATATATATATATATATATATATATATATATATATATATATATATATATATATACAGAAATACACTCACTGTTTCTCTAAAATCGTTCAATCTAGGTTTATGTTTCACTCCTATCATTTATATACTTTTTTTTTATATTATGCAAATAAGTTTAAGTAAATGGCAGAAAATAAAAATAATTCATCTGAGGTTTTGAGTAATCAATTTATGTTTAATACTTCATAGATTTTAATTGTGAATTTCTAGTAGTAAACCAGGGTTGAACACCTAATATGTCTTATGTTTTTTTCTGACACACCTTCCCACAGCTCATAATTTTCAAGGTATTTAAAATAGTTTTGCAAAACTTTTACTTTAAGAAAAAAATTTTTTTTTTTCCTCTGAAACATGTAGACTTTACTGTCTGATTTGGTAAGATGTTAATATGTCTCTCATAGATAAGAAAATAAGATTAATAACAAAGATAAATAATAAATATATAATAACAAATTATAAGAAAACAAAAATTTTTATTCTTGTGTTATCATTTTTTAAGAAATATTTAGAAAATATAAAACCTTTATATTAGACAAATATTTCTCTAACCCTTCCATTTATTATGATTCCGTATATTTAAGCTATAAACAGTTAGGCGTTTTATTTAAAAATAATCACGATTTCATATAAGAAGCAGTAATTGCTATATATTAAATAAAAAATAAGTATATATATATATAGTATATACCAGTCAATCATTTACAAATGTGAGGAAATCGGAAATTGATAGAAAGCATTTGTAGAGAGAAAACATGTACACCATCAGTATTTCTTTTACTTCTGCATGCAGTAATTTTCTTTGCTGCATCGACTGCTTTTTTTGATGTTTTGTTGTCAGCCATTATGGCTGACAAAATACTTTCAGGATGAGAGAAATAACAATTTTTGAAAATATTTTCTGGGCATTTGCTATTTCATAATAACAAAAAAGTTTTGTGCTCCTTAACCACATTTCTCATTTTTCTTGATTAAAAACCAGCAAAAATAGTGAACTTTGATGATGTAATCAACAACTCTTTTTTCAGACTTGTAATGGGGTTTTCTAGTCGACATGTATAACTGTAGCAGATGATTGGCAAACGTGAGCTGAGAGTCAGCTCATTTAAATAAAGCAAGCAAACACACTATTGAAGTGGTCTGCCAACACAAGTTCCAAGTAAACAAATTATACAATTTTTCCAGCTTGTGTTTTCATTTGTCCCATCACAAACAACACTTTGTAAAGTCACAAGAGAATTTCTGTCATTTAAAACTAAAATGATTTCCTTTGCAACATTAACTGCTTACTACTTTGTGGACAAATGTGATTAATGTAGACGCTGTTGTGCTATGAACAGATAACATAACTTTTTTTTCTTTTTTGATAAAAGTTTTGTTGCAATAATCCTACGGTTTTTTCTAAACAGCTATCCAAACAGATTCTAATAATTTCTGTGGCTAAATCTGCATGTTCTTTTACATCTTTTTGTTAATGGCAGGTTTTTTTTTCTTTTAATTTTGCTAGATTCAATATGTATTTTGGTGAATGAAATGATATATGTTCAGGCAACTACTTCATTATGATATGTTCAGGTAAGCGTAGTGGTGTAGTGGTAGAGCCCTCGCCTCATAAGTGTGAGGTTTCAACTTTAATCCCCACCATGTCCCTGGTAGTACAGCGGTCAACATAAACATGGGTATTGACAAAGTTTAGACAGGGTAATGTCAAGGTTTGTGTTTAAGTTATAGAGTTGAGAGAGGGTATCATCAAGGTTGGTGTTTAAGTTAGAGTTAAGAGACACAAGATCTGTTACCACGCTGATACACTGATACATCACTGTTACCACAAGATACATTGCTCAACTTAAATATGGGTATTATCAAGGTTTAGACATAGTATTGTCAAGGTTTGAGTTTAAGTTATAGAGTTGAGAGATGGTATTATCAAGAAGGGTTTTAGCTTAAGTTAGAGTTGAGAGAGGGTTGTAACCAGTTACAACCCTCTCTCTTTGTTTGTGGGCTTGGGGAGGTGAATTGAAATAAGAATGTATAATTTCTAAATGAATAACTTGAACGCATAATTTTTAAATGAATAACTGCATATTTTGAGCAAAATTATTTATTCAATGATGGCCAACACGATTCAAGATGCAACACGGTTCAAGATTGCACATTCTTATCTCTAAAGTAAAATTCTTAAAAACTTTTTTATATAATTTATTTTTTTTAATTTCAGAAAAGCTTTTGACTTTACAAATTGACATTACAAATTGTACAGTACATTGCAAATTACTGGTTTTGAGCTGAAACATGATTTTTTAATTGATGCTTTGAACTTAATAAGTAATTATTTTTATAATAAAAAAAATATTTACAAAAGTTAATGATGCATATTCTAACAATGAACAAGTTATCATTGGTATACCACAGGATTCCATTTTAGGACCTCCTTTTTTTTGTTTTCATCAATGATCTACCTGAATATCTAATGTTATTTGAATATCATTATTTGCATATGACACAACATTTACGACAAAGTGATACCAATTT